GTTACCAGGGGGAAGGGGTGGGAGAGAGAGAGAAATGAGGAAGGGAAGTAGAGTGTTGGCCCAGGGGGTTTGGTGGAGGCTGAGTGGAACATGTGCACATATGGAAGAGCAAAAATGTGCCCCAAAATTAAAATAATAAAAAAAGAAAAACAAAACAAAAATAAATTGAAGCTAAGTAGGTGAGCAAGGGAGAGAAGACATGGTATTGAAATGGTTTAAGTATAGGGAAAAATGTTACCCATGATAAAATTCTCATCATCACTTATCATCAGGGAAATGCAAATCAAAATGGCAATGAGATTTCACCTCACTCCCGTGAGAATGGCCCATTTCACAAACCATTAACAACAAGAGTAGTGAAGATGTGGAGGAAATGGAACCCTCATATGCTCTTGGTGGAAATGTAGACACAAGCAACCCCAATGTAAAACAGAGGGAGGTGTCTCAAAATATTGAAAACAGATCGATCATGTGATCCAGAAATTCCACACCTAGGTATCTACCAGAAGAGTGCAAAAACATGAATTCTAAGAGACATATGCACTCCTATGTTCATTGCAACACCACTTAAAAATACTGAGTTGTGGAAACAACCTAATGACAGATGAGTGGATTAGAAGGATGTGGCCTATACACACAACGGGATACTACTCAGCTATAAAAACAAAGGTGAAATCTTGCCAATTTGGGACAACATGAATGGAACTAAAGGGGATTATGCTCAGTGAAATAAATCAAAAAGAGAAAGACAAACATCATAGATGATGTCTCTCATATGCAGACTATAAAGAAACAAACCACAGAACCAAGGCTACCAGAGGGTGGAGGGGAACCCGGGAGTAGGGGGCACAGTGGGCTATGCTAGCAGGTTTATGGTGCTTTGGCGGTGGGCATAGTGTGGTGATACACATGTGACTAGGTGTGGACCTATACCCCCCAAACATGACGTGTTATAAACCAGTGTCACCTAAATAAAAGTTTTTAAAGTTCCCTTTACAAATACACTACATTTATTCTACAACTAAGAGATAAAATAAGATTTCCGTGCGAAGTCTGTGTTGTACTTTTTGGTGGTTTTATAAAAAAAGAGAGAAATTTGTGTTCAAGGTAAAGTTAATAACATTTCATGAAATTAACTCTTATGACTCCCAAAGAGATAGAATTTCCTTGAGACATGGCATGAAGTTTTTGAAAAACTGCCAGTGAGACTTGGGGGTACCGAATTATGAGGCACCATTCTTCCCATGCTGCCTTCTATGATTGGAGCCTCCACTGAGCAGAAAATAGGATATCCCCCATTTGATTCTGAAGATATTGTGGTGAACTCACCAGGACATATTTCTTCAGCATGACCAGGGTTATGCAGGGTAATGGGCTTAAAGAAATAGCCCAGAGCTGCCTGTGTGTTCCGAACAAGCCCACGCCTGGGTTTATGCACTAGGCCTAGCGCACGCTTTCATGCTACGTGTTGGTGCCGGCCGCTGCTGCCGAAAGATATGCCCCTGGGTGTACTTCCACCTTAAAGGGTATTTCTTGTCTCTGCCACCTCCTTCCCAGCTACAGGGTGTCACCTACCATAAACAGCCTGTCTATTAAAGTTGTGAGGCCCCACATTTCTCTGCCCTGGCCTGAAGGCACATGACTCATACTGATGGGTGATGATTCTTGCATGCATGGCTAAATGAGAGGCACAGACATCGTTCTCCACTTGGATTTTACCTGGGCATACCCTTGGAAACAGTGAAGGAAGAAATGCCATGTCTCTCGACCTTTTTCACAGTATTTTACGTAAAACCTTCCATAAACGATGATTTCTCACTATCTCTTCCATTCCCTGTTTTTTAAATGGGATGAGCAAATAATCATCTATATTGGGACACTTCTAAAAGGAAGAATTATCAAGAATTAACAGGTGCAGACTATCCTAGTTAATGGAGGACATATGGTGACCCTACTTATAAAGTAAATGAGTAGAAGGAATAAGACATTTGAAGAGAGGACCAGCTACCCCTGATACATAAAACACAAACAAACAAAAAATTACTTTCATTGTAGTAAGTCACCGAGATTTGAGGTTGCTTGTTATCACAACATAACCGAGAAAAAGCTGACGAATATACCTTCTTACAGTGTAACTTCTCTGCTACCACCTCTCTAAAATGGGAGGAACACGATAGGGCCCATATCATTGGCTGATTGTTAGAATTATGAACTAAGATAGATATTAAGTATTTAGAATCCGGTACAGAGGAAGTCAGTAAATGTGAACTATTATCATTATTATTAGTTATAATAATAACAACACAGAAGAATAAAAGACTTTTTTTTTTTTCCTTTTATAAGATCACAGTGAAGACAAATTTCAAGCAGAATATACTATTACTCAGGAATGGCTGGAAAGAGTCACCTCTGGCTTCCACCACACAAGATGTTTGCCCTTTCAGAAGTCCTGAGACCCTTGGCCCCTTTCTTTTAATCTGTTAGTCTACTACCTACTTTGACTCCTAATACCTTAGCACACTACAACTATATACTTTCTGGTGGATTCCTCAAATCCCTGTATCTTTTGTTCCTTCCATCTCACCCAGATGACAAAATTTTAAATCAACACAACATTCCAGTGTTTTTTGCTCCCACGCCTAACTAAGAATCCTTCAAATTTTCTTGAAAATCCTTACATGGGCTCTTTCTAACTTTTCCCTCATTTCTCATATGAAATATCTCCTAATGTCACCTTTCTCCTCAAACTTGTAAGCTACTACCTTCGTCCTCACTCAAAAGAAAATAGAAGGCATTAAGTAAGGACCACATAAGTCGGTTCATAGTTCCCACCCACCCCAAAACCAGCCTCCTTTTTGTTCTGGAAACCGGCCCCTCCTACCTACTCAGGGTCTTCAACTGCCTTGCTGGTTCTCAGTGCTTTGAATATAAAGCCGCTGTTACGAGTCTCACCTCCCAAAAATAACTCCCTTAACCCTTTTCTCTTCGGTCCTGTGTCTCTCCCCTTTACTCTCTTTCATGCTCTACTTTCTCACATCTACCCATTCCTTACCCCACTGAGCTCTCTATTCTGACATTTACCAAACTCTGGCAAAGGTCATCAATGAACAAGTTGTTGTTGAAACTGTTGGACACTTTTTTGTATTAAATTTGCCTTAATTCTCTATGACATTTGACATGGCCAGTTTCTGGATCTTTCTTGTGATTCTCTCCTGTCTTGGCTGCAAAATGCCTCTCTCCTGCCATCCCTTCTCAGGCTATTCATTCCCAGACTCTTGTAGACTCTGCCTCTCTGCCCTCCTTCAGTGCTCTCTATGCTCATGGTTTTGCTGACCCTCTTCTCTTTACTTCCCAAGGCATTAATTACCAGTCATATGTCAGGAATTTCAAAATCCATGTCTCTAGCCAGATCTTCCTACTACTGAACAAATGATTACTGGATGTACCCATGGGAGTTCCACTCACTGCTCAGTCCCAAGATGTTCACTGTGAAATTTATCATTTTGCCTATCTATCCTTTGCTTGCTTCTGGATTTCTTTGACTAAATGCCCATATAATTCACTCACTGCCAAAGCCTTAGAAAACTGGGAGTTATGCTTGAGTTTCCCCAAATCTATCTCATCCTAATCAAATAGCCTCCCTATTTATAGTGTTGACTTTCCGAATCTATTTTCCATGCCATTTACAAATGATCATTCTTTAGGGTCTTCAGAAGAAAGTCCAAATTCTAACACTAAAACCTTAACTCTACACCTAACCACCTATCCTTAATAACACAGTTCCTGTCTGCCACTTCAGTTTCATCTCTTATCATGTCCCCTAAATTTTCTACACATCAAACATACTGAGCTACTTTCAATTCCAAGACAGTTCTATGTTTCATGATATATGACCATGTTTCTGGGTTGTTTTTTTTTTTTTTTTGTACTTGCTGCATTCCTTAGTTAACAGCTCTTCTTTAACTTAGATATTACCTTTTCTGGGAAGTCCCCTCTGCTCACTAGAATGTTTCATATCCCAGAAAGCTCTCCCAACAGACTGAGTTAGCGGCCCCTCTTATGCACTTCCATGTACTCCGAATATGTCTCCTTCTGTAATTTGATTGCTGAATGAATTGCACTAAACTATGACCTTGATTAGGTGAGGAATTATTAACCTTGCAACACCAGTTTCCTACTCATTATCTAATGATACTCAGTAAATGTTTCATCAAAGAATAAACAGTGACAAATAGTCTCTTGAGTAGCAGTTCCCTCTCTTGGAGGGCAAGACTGCATGCATAAGTAAAAAATTACAAACAACATAAAATGTTTATAACCATATATACACATGTAGTGGTGAAGTATCTATAAACAGAGATGTGTGTGTGTGTGTGTGAGTGTGTGTGTGACTATATGGGTTATGGAAGTTATTCATTTTCCTTTATCTTATCTTCCCTTTGCTTGTAAGTTCCATGTCTTTGTCATTGTGATTCCCTGTGCACAGATAACTGTGTTCTGCTTTTTCACAAACTGTACCTTCTCCACAACATAAAATTTCTTAATATTCTTACTTAATAATCAGGGCAATATTCCCATGACAGATCATCTGAAAAGGTAAGAATTCTAATTCTAAAGATCAGAATCTAATCACCACTGTGTTACATTATCAATTCCCATTTAGTCTTCCTTTTTTCCTGGATTCAATTATCTCAACTTCTTTAGCGATTCCATATGTGGTAATATGCTGGATCAGCAAATTTAAATTTTTACACAATTCATTATAATCTCAAATGAGATTTGTATCTGACACACATAAGGAATTAATTATTAATATTGCTTCCAAATTCAGGTTTGTTGTTGTTTAAAAAAGAATTTTTCACCTCTCTACAACTCATTTTCAATTTGTGGTCATTCTGCCCCCTCCCAAGATCTTTGAATGCAAACCTTCAATCATTTCAGTTATTCTTAATTTTTTCAGTTTAGTGAATCTGAGGGCAACACGGTTTTATTATAGAAAATTAGCAATAATCCATAGTTAATGTTAAAATGTTTTAATAAGAGTTTTACAAATAATTAGTTGTCATTCCAGAAAGCCATATAGCCACACTTTAAAAATGGATGTTTTAAATTGGTATGATCATATTTCTTGAAATAATCATCACAAGGCATTGTCATATGTAGGAATTATTAGATGAAAATGTGAAATTAGCAATGCAAGCAAATTTAAAAATCATCCTTTCAATTAGGAATTAAATCTTTAGAGCATTTAATTATCATCTATCACCATCATTGCTATATATTCTTTGTAATGAATTGAAGTGGATTCTGGACCAATTGCAGCAGACAACATTTCTTCCATTTCCTCTTGAGAGAAGGGCTCACCTGAGAGAGAAAAGATGGGAAATTCATCATTTACAATCTTCTGGTCTTTTCTCTTTCTTTTTTCACCAGCCAGATTAATTGCCCGAGTCCCCCAGGTCCCACAATGTCACTAGTTACTCTCCCTCGGGCTGTAGAGCTAGAATATTACGACAGTCCAGAGGTTCAAAGAGCAAGGCGTAGACCCCTGTCAGATTCTGACTTTATTTTACCTTGCTATTATCATAGCTCGAACAACCTATGTAACTAATCTGTTTGACCAAACAGTACAACAACATAAAAACACCATGAATAAGGTTATTTACTTATACAATTTAATAAAATTCTAACAGAAAAATAAATTTAATTATGTAAATTAAACAATTTAAATAAATTTAATAAAGCTATTAAAACTGACAGGGCAATAACCTGTAGTCCTAGTCTTTTTTATTAAAGATTTATTTTTATTTATGTATACGAGAACTGGGGTGTAGGCCAGAGGTGCGGGGAGTGAGAGGATTCACCAGAGGCAGAGTGGGGAGCAGAACAGGCAGATCTACTGAAATACACTGGTGAGGGGAGCAGCGGGCAAGACAGGAGAGGTCTGCTGCGCCATATGGGTAGCTCCCTGGCCGGGCTCGAACTCTTGCCATAGTGGTTGGCAATAGCCTAATAGCTCTGAGACTTTAACCCTGCACCACCAGGGAGGCCCTGAAGTCTCAGTCTTAGAGGAAGTCTAGTCATTATGTCTATGAATATGGGTATTAAGTGGTCATTATGCAAAGCTGCTAGGGAGCAGAGAGGAAGGTAAGGAGGGAGGTAAGTGGTCACTATGCAAAGCTACTAAGGAGCAGAAAGCAGAATATCCCAATGTATCTGAAAATCCCAGCTAGGTCTGGTCAACTCAGTGGTGCCAGCTGCACCAAATGGCAGATACCATTTGTCAACCATTCAAAAAGCAGCCATCTATGTTATTTTTCAGCCCGATGTTGATGTCAAATGTACCCAAAAGTTGGAGAGGAAATCTGTGGGCTTTTTTTGGTTTCAGATAACAGCTGAGGGCTACCTTGGATATTGGTTTCATCAAGATGAGAAGCAAACTGAGGAAGAAGTTGGAAAGACTGTAGACCAAGATAGAACTTTGTTCAGATACTAAACAATATAGAAACATCCATCTCACTCCAAAAGAGTCTTAGCCAAGCAGCTATAATGCCAAGGCCTGAGGATTATTTACCTTCTGAGCTTCAGTCACTTGTCACCACAAGCAACACTTTTTAAGATAATTTAATTAATAATTTAATGGAATGTAGTTAATAATACGGAAATTATCCAAATAGGGATTTTATGACAATTACATTAATATTATCAAACAAGGGGATGTGCCAAGTTCTTTTGAAATTATGGTTGAATCCTAAGAAAAGAAAGAATTTTGATTCTTTCTTGAATGATTGTTAAATATTAAATCCACTGCCAAATGAACTCACATGAGCACCAAATAAGTTCTTAAAAGAATACGAATAACATTTATTGAACCAGATACTGATTTAAGTGCTGCATATATGTTAATTGAGGTATTCTCCCTATCACCGAAGAACCATTATCTCCAGGGACAGTTGAGACACCAGCATGTGAAGAAAAAAGGCGGTTGGCCCCAGTCAGTCAACGGGATCTGAACAGTCTGGCTCCAGGTTCGTGAACTCAGTGCCCACACTCTGCTGCTTAGAACCAGGCCTTTCTCACAGTAAAATACAGAAGGTGGGCACACTACTTTCTTACACAAGGAAGAGAGATATGCAGTATTTGATTGGGGTGCAGGAAAACAGCTTAATCGCTTAAAGCACGCGCTTGGGAGCCTGACAACTTGGGTTCAAATTGTAGTTTTCTCTTAGTAGTTTTACAATCTTGGGCAAGTCACTTAACCTTTCTGTGCCTCAGTTTTTGTGGCTATAAAATGGAGGGGATAATAATGCTACCTATATCAGAGGTATAAGTTTTGAAGAATAGCACTTAGAACATTGCCTGGCACATAGGCAGCAACATGTTTATTTAAAAAATATTGTTTGAGATCTCCCATGATGTCTTACAAATCTGACACTATATACAGATCTGACACTATATAAATGTCTGGACACGTTACTTCTATCCGGTCAGAACTTAATTTAATGTAACTTATTATATTCATCATATGACAATCTGAGCACTGATGGTTTTAGAATATTCTCACACTGATTAATACTCTATGGATACTGTGAAAAGTTGCATTCTTTCTGTATCATTGCAATCTGGTCCTGATTTCCCTTTTTCAGCCCATGACAAAATCAGTAATACCCATCCATGATAAAGCCCTGTTGTTACTTTTGACTTGGCTCCGATCTTTGTCCCCTGCACCCTGTTACACATCAGGACCAGTGGATCCTGCTGCAGGTTGTCCTATTCTATAAGTCTCTTCTTTTCATTCCTGTTGCCACTTCTAGATCAGGCCCGCACTAGGGCATTTCAAAATGCTGAATTAGCTTTCTAACTGGTCTTCCTAATCTAAGCTTTTCTAACACATCTGCACCAAATTAACCTTCCCACAATCTTCCCTGCGCCATATGACACATCTGCTCAAAACCCCATGTGCTTCTCCCTTGCTTACAGGAAGAATTCTAAATGGTTGAGCCCCGGCCTCCACAATCTAGTCCCAGCAAATCTATCTGCATTCATTTATTGCTGTTTGCCAACAAGACCTTCTGGACCCTATCTTCTTCTCATGGGTTCCCAAAGTATCATGCGCATTCCTCCCTCCCAGTTTTATTCATACTGTTTTTTTCCTTCTCTTATCAGCCTCTTCACCTATTCTTCATTCATCTACTCATTTATTCATCACTTCAACAAATGAGGCTTACTATGGGGCGGGGCGGGGGGTGCTATAATGCATAAGATTGTACCCCCAGCTCTCAATAACTCACCCATATAAAAGCCACCATCTCAGGAAAACTATTTCCTTTTAAGTCTTCCCAAACCAAGCTTTTCAGGCTGGTCGAGTCCACCTTGATCTTTTGAAGTTCTTTTTTATCCAACTGTCTAATGTTTTGAAAGCTATTTTTATTTACAAAATAGGATTATATATCACTTGAGAAAGTGAGCAGATTTTAGTATCAAACTTCTCACTACATTTAGTAGCTGTCACCTACACACAGTATGTACACCATACTAATGATACTGAACTGTTTAGCCACTTTTACTTAATTCCTATTGTCTGGTATAATCTAGGATTTACTTCCTTCACATCAATCCTTAGATTTAAGAAGCTGTTGTTTTGAAAGTCATAACATGACTGTCAAAGTTAATCCCTAAAATAATTTAAGTAATGTTCTAAGAGATCTTGGGTGGTAGCTAAGGTTGTCATGTCATTCTTATTCTCATGCCCTGTATTCTCACAGAGTGGTGGTTCAAGTCAAAATGGTCAAACCAGTTATGCATATAGATACCTCTGAGTTTTTCCTACTCAAAATAACTTATACTTTAGATTCTCTCTCAAGTGATTAGCAACTCTGAATCATTCAGAACTCAATCTGTAAATCAGCGAACTAAACAAAGGGGACAGAACTCTTAGCTTGTATAGGAGGGGAAGAGGAAACTAATATGAAAATGACTTCAAAAGAAGTTTGATACTTCAAAATGGCTTCATTAGGTTGCTGACATTTAGGCAAAACAAATTTATATATTAGCTTAAGCAGATAAAATTCCTAAGGATAAATGATAGCATATATAGCTGTGTAGGTATCATGGATAAGTGTGTATATGTGTACATGTAATTCAAGTTCAATGAAAATACATATTTGTGGCTTCATTGGCATAAAAAAATGAACAACTTGTGTGATTCATATTCAATTGAGCCTGTAAGAAATATAACTTCAACTGAAAACCTCTAAAAAAAGGAAATCCTATATACTCCAATTCAAATCTTCAATCTAGTAACAGGCATAGATTTACAGTGATTTAGTTCATTACTATCAATAATTTTCCAGAGGGGCATACTTTTTATTCTGGAAATACCCAGTATGAATGGGATGGCTTCAATTAATAGAAGTATAATAATTATACTTTACAACATCCTATATGGTAACAATCTATTTTCCCTTAACCTACTTACCCTTTGTTCTTTTGTCACCCACAAAATGGAAACCATCTCAAAACCAAAATAATAGGGTTTGTATATAATTGTTTTTTAACCTGAATGATTGATTTTACATAATTGTTTAAAAAGGGTAATCACTTATATAAGTAAGTCACTGTTTTAAGTAATAAATCACTCTCACCTTCTTCAGTCATGAACTTGATCAGTTCTTCCTTAGGAATAAATCCAAGTTTATCTGGATCTAATACCTTGGGGGAAAGAATAGATATAATTTTGGCTTGGTGAAGAAATTCTACATGATGAGTTTTTCATATGAATATAAGTACATGTAAAATTTGGAGCTTACCTCAAAAGCTCGAAGAAGGACATCTTCTGGAATTGGTCTGTATCTAATTACACAATAAAAGAAGTAAACGCCACAGTATGTAACTCAGTCACTACATAATAAACAAACACTTAACATGAAACAAAATCTGCTTATTATGATAATACTACTGACCTCACTGAAATCTTTTTGAAATTCTAGACATGAAAGTTGAAAGTACTCTACTCTTACAGGAAATGTAGTTCAAAATCATTTGCATGTTTGTTGTTATCTATCAGCTTTTCCCAACATTATGGAAATCTTTACAGGGAACAAAATCTCTACAATAAACTAACTATGACAAACTAAGGTTACTCATTTTCTAGAAAAAAAAATCAGAGTTAATACTTATTCATCATTGATATTCAAAATGAAAGATAAGAATAGTGCTTATTTATGATTTTGTAGCTGTTTGTCCTTAATTATACTTTATTAGAGTAATACTAAAATTGTTGATATTTCCAAGTATAGACCACAGACAGTTTAGAAGTAAAATATTAGAATTTACTTTAAGATAAATATTGGTTGAGTATAATATACAAAGTGAAAAACTGCAGTGTTTTGAAATTAATGTAATTCTAGTCATTTTGCTTTAGCAATTACATATATTCTCTTACCTTTTTTCCATTAGTACTTGGGTCATTACTGGAAGAAATTTCTCATATCGAATGTATCCAGTGGGCTCTTCTTCCTCTACCTAAACATAAAATAAAATTTAAAAAAATACACTTACTCAACAAATGTATCTTAATAACTACTTTTTCCAAGCACTGAGCCAAATGCTGGTGATTTGATGATGAGGACACTCAGGCATAATTCCTGCTCATTGAGCTTATATTCTGGTGATAGCAATGTATTACTAAAAAAAAAATAAAAAAAAAAAGCTGGGTGTCTAATTATAAGTTTCTATAAGCACAATTGATGGAGGAAACAATAGAAAAAAAAAAAAACTAAAAAGGAGGTGTGCCACAAGACCAGAAACCTGGCTCACACAAGGAGGTGGGGGAGAAGAGATTAGCATAGCCATTGACACAGCTATGGAAGCCAAGATCCGACACAGTTGTGGAAATTAGTATCCTTAGGCGCAGGCTAGTATCCTTAGGCAGGACGCCTAGTTTAAAAAGCATAACATCCAAGCAGGTATCTGAGGACTCATCCAAAGGTAAAGCTATGGAGATTGAGCCCATTGTGGAATCTCCAGACCCTTTCAGATTCTGCACAGTTATACAAAATTAGCAACCAACTGAGGGCCCACAAGGAGTGAGCCCCTCCCAAACAGAATACTATATCAGTGCAGTCTCTGCACTGGCTAAGGCAGCAATCCCACTGCTCACCTGTGCCTATGCAGGTGCCTCTTTTCACTAACTCTCTCACTCTGCAGGACAGCAGCCTTCCTGCCTGCCGGTGACCTGTCAAGGCCACCCTCCTGCAACCACACAGGCCTCTCTTAGCAACCCCCTCCCTTCTGGGGCAGTTTTTCCTGCCCGCTTGTGTCTATGCAAGTGTCTTTCACTGTTTTATCCCTTCCCTAATAAACCTGTTCTTTAAATATAACTAACATCTCTGTCTCGTGGAGAAACTCACCTGGGAAACTCGCCACGTGTTGCTGAAACAGGAGCTCTGGTGAAACCTTTCCCAGAGTGAACTCCAGGATCCTACACTCCAAACCCACAGACTCCAAAAACCACAACACAATGAAGTAAAGAAGCATGGAGCTAGAAGAGCATAGAAAAAAGAAACTTTTCTGGGCCTCCCCGGTGGCGCAGCGGTTGAACACTGGGTTGCGAAGCTGCCCGCATCCTCTGCAGCGCCGGTTCGATCCCCGGCTGCTCCCCGGCCACTGGAGGAGGGTCCCTCATGGCGCGCAGACCTCTCCTGCCGCCCGCTGCTCCCCTCAGCAGTGTACTTCGGTCCTTCTGCCTGCTCTGCTCCCTGCTCTGGCTCTGGTGAATTCTCTCACCCTCCCATGCTTCTGACTGTACCCAGTGCATGTATAAGCAAAACAAACAAACAAACAAATAAATAAATAAAACATGCCTCTATTAAAAAAAAAAAAAAAAAAGAAACTTTTCTAGACCCAGAGATCAGGAAGGCATTGATGAGAAACCATATTTGAAATGATTTATAAAAGATGGGAAGGTAATTAGAGAAAGAGAGCAGGAAAGATCCTGTGTGCTAAGATCCTGTGTGATGCACTGAAGGCCAAGATGTGGGACCATGGGAATAAGAAGAATGTTCAAGATGAAGTTGGAGAGAGACAAGGACAAGATCAGGCAGGGCCTGAAAATTGGTTGTTAGCCTAAAACCAATGGGAAACCACTGAAGGTCTCATAGATTTGTTGCTTGAAAGATCACACTGGTTATAGGCGAGGTGGCTTCTGCACTAGTCAAAGAAAATGTACGAGCTTGGATTAGAGTGGTGGCCATGGAGACAGAAGTGGATAGTTTTAAGATATATTTAAGAAATAAAATAAACAAGACCTGGTACTGAATTTCCTGAGTAAGCAGGGTAAAAATGGGAGTCAAGGACAACCTGGGGTTCAAGCCTTTGCCTGAGAGACTCTGAATAAAGAACCAGGTTAGGAGACCAATCATTGTCTCAAGGACAAAAGCAGTTATCAGGGCCCTCCTGATGGTCTAGGGGTTAAGTCTCAGCACTATCACCACTAGGGCCTGAGTTCAATTCCTGCCAGGGACTAACCCACATATGGCGCAACAGACCTCTCCTGTCTTGCCCCACTGTTCCCCTCGGAAGTGTATTTCAGTGGATCTGCCTGCTCTGCTCCCCACTCTATGTCTGGTGAATCTTCTCACATACCCCCCACACCTCTGGCCTACACCCCAGTTCTTCTACAAAATAAATATATTTTTTAAAAAGCAAATATCATATCATTGTAATATTACTAAATACTGTCTGTAATGATAAATGGAACTTTGTTATACAACCATTAATTAAGAGAATACTCTACTTGAGAGAGAGAGAACGGTTGGTATCTAGCACTGTTGGGTGAGAATGAGACAGACTTCGATGGTATGGCTGAACAAAACACTATTGATCTTGACTTTCATGTCAGCCTATTTACGAGGAGCTGTAAATTTTGCCCTCCCTTTCAAAAATCCTATTAAAAGGCTCATAGAATCCAGTTCAACAGAGGAACTTCTAATAGATTTATTTCTTGAGCAAAAAATAAGAAACCCATAGGATGCTGCTAAGTGGAACACCCTGTCATAAAAATGACAACTATTTTTTAAAATCTATACTAGATTTTCACCTAGTATGAATAGAGCCTTGGGACTCCACTATCCGGAGAAAATATCATTGCTCTAATAATGGCATGATATATTAGGATTTCTATGGTTGTCAATATATGCACAATTGTCTTTAGCTGCTTCTAGGCCCAAGGGCAAGCATTTTGTAAATTAATGCTCACATGGTTCAGATGTGCTTGAGTAACACGCTGCAACTCCCAACCCCAGGAGTCTCTTAAAAATAAAATGTCCATCTCAGGAGACTACCTTCAGAGGGATAATTTAAAATTAAAACTATTTGATCACCCTAGAAATTTGCTCTAGAAACTAGAGCACTGGTTTTCTTCCCTTTCCCCACTCACAACAAATCACTGTAAAGTCTCAGTCTCAAAAAGATCAAAACCCTCTTTATTTTTTGAGCATCCTCATCAATATAAAAAATGTCTTTAGTTTTTCCATAGGGGGTTCCTCTCTGTGGCACTCTCTCAGTTGGCAGTGTGAGAGAACTCACAAGCAGCACATAACTGTGTGTATTGTAATGCCCCCTGAACTCCCACACAACGTCATGAGCCCTCAGGGCTCTGAACAGTAGGGTGAAAGCTGCATAGCACTCTTATCTGATGGATCTGTGTAGAGCCAAATCACGCAAAAATAACTTAAAGCCATTCTCCAACTACCCAGGATAGCTGAAGAGGCATACATTTTCTTTGACATTTTTAAATAAAAAAGATTATAAACAGAGGCTTTGTGGTTAAAAGCAAGAAGGAAAATAAAAGTTCATCTTCAACTTGGGCAAATTGTGGAATCTTTCTATGACCCAACACTGTCCTCTAGAGGCCACATCTAACCTGTTCTAGTTTACAAAAAAAGATCTACACGCAGTGGCATACAGAAAACACAATTGTATAACTCTAAACATGCGCTCATGGACTGTATATGCCAGACACCATTTTACAAGTATTTTTATATTTAAATAGGCTTTTTATTTTAGAATTGTTTTATATTTTTGTTATTTATTTTAATTAATTTTTTTCTTACATCATTGTTGTCCCTATAATTCTCCCGCCACCATAACACCCATGAACCGCCACCATATTCCCTTGTGTTCTTCCCTTGCCTGTTTTGTTTTAGATTCATAGAAAGTTGCAGAGAGGCGTTTCCATTGATGCCCTAACCCAGTTTCCCTTGTTGTTAATCCTGACATTGCTATGTTGTGAACCAATACAGATACATTATTATTCACTAAACTCCATGCTACACTTTGATTCCATTAGTTTTCCTGAAAGGCATTTTTAAATTATGGCCTATTCTTCTGTTATAAAAGAGAAAGAGTTAAGTAGATGACCACTTTTGGGAATCTGGACAGGAGTGAAGAGAGATGAGGATAAGAGATGGTTCTATTACTTTGGGTGAAAGAGTGGCAAATTCATTCTACGAGGGCATTTGTAAGATAGGATAAAAACACTACTTCCTAAGACTGTTATGCAATAATGGCTGAATGATTATTCAAATCCATGGATTAAAATGTCTTTAAGACAGGGTGTGTGGAATAGCAGTGATGTCTCCATCTCTGCTGGCTCCCTATGGGCCACTTTGGAGACAGTAACAGACAGCAACCAAACGCATCCCCCCTCTTCAGGAGACAAAAACAAACCAAACATATCTTGTTATCCCAAACATGTTTCATCTAAGAAGAGGCATAATATGCTGACAAGTAGGAAATAGACAAAAATGTCGTGTTTATAAATATAAAGGTAATAAAACCTCTTTGCAGGAAGATGCCCCAGTTTAGACTTCAAGTACCATTTATAATGAATTCATCTTAATAACTGAACTTAATAATAGAAGTTCAACAATCAAGGCTCTGTGACAGCTGGTTTCTCTACCTCCAAGGAACGAAGCCACCTGAAGAAAATATGGTGACTTAACTGTCCCACAAAGGGGTCCCACTTCTTCAAGGGGGGAGTGTCTTCAGACATCCTCGTCTCTGCGTATCCTCTTCCCTCCAATGGAGAAGTCTCAATAAATATGTAAATACTGTGGGACTTAAAAATATCAACATTTATCTAAGTCTCAAAGTCTGAAGTGAATATTATTTCTCACTCTACTTTGATACAAGTTAGGTTTAAACCTATTTTGCATGTGAGGAAATTCCAGCACTGGGAAGTGAAGTGATTGTGCTGGTCCTCAAAGTCAGTCAAGTGCTTTGATAGGATCCCAGCCCAGAGTTCCTAACTTCCATTCCCATGGTTAGATCATCAGGCCTCTCTTTTCTCATTACAGCATTATTTATTTTAATGCTGAACTCAGTGACTGGGAACAATGAAACACATGGTGAAAATTCATGTCTTCCCCATGAGATAACAATCAGTCAATAAATTAAACTATTTCATGCTTCACAAAGGCAAGATAATATCAGTTTGGCTGGTTTATGAAGCTCCTATATTTCAACTACTTCCAGATTACCAAATAAGATACACATATAAATTTGTAAAATTATTTCTAGTATAAAATATAAAACCCATGAAATATTGCAAGTTAGACTCTGAATTCTATATATACACATTTTGACATTAATCATATTTCAAAACCAAAACATAAATACAATTTAGAAAATATTTCTTTACCTTAGACAGATTAAAGTAATAAAAATTTATTGACATTTATCAAAAATTTATCTTTAATAGAGCTGCCTCCTTTGGGAAAATTATTTATTCCAAACCTCCTATAAGGTACTGTGCAAAAACAAGGATCTGTGATTCTTTGGGGTTATAAGTCTGTGTGTATTATTAGAAGGATCAAAATAGATTGAATCATCTCTGGGCAGGACCATCACAGATTCCAAGGTGTCTATAGGTGGACAAGTCAGATATAAATAATGTGGCTTCCAAATGTGAGTTTCTACAATTTGAAGTGATGGGAGAACAAGTAACTATCAAGCACATAATTTCTCCATTTTATCTCAGGGCAGGTGTTAGGGAGTCATTTCATACCCTTCACTTTCATTTCTCTGCACCTAGATCCAGCCCCAGCAGCATGCTCTCTATTTGACACAGGTAGAAAGTGCAGTAGAGACTGTCCTTGCTAAGTTATTCTATCCGTTTATACCAAAAACAATTATGTTTAAAATTATGTTGTAACAGGATTGGAGAAAAATCTTTATCCTGAGTTAAGATTTGGTTTAAGAAAAGGAGCAGGGGGCCTCCCCGGTAGCGCAGCAGTTGAGCGCTGGGCTGCGAAGCTGCCCACAGCCTCTGTAGCACCGGTTCGATCCCCGGCTGCTCCCCGGCCACCGGAGGAGGGTCCCGCATGGCGCGCAGACCTTTCCTGCCGCGCCCGCGGCTCCCCTCAGCAGTGTCCTCTGTCTGTCTGCCTGTTCTCTTCCTGGTCCTGGCTCTGGTGAATTCTCTCACCCTCCTGTGCTTCTGACTGTACCCAGTGCTTGTATAAATAAATAAATAAATCTTAAAAAAAAAAAAAGAAAGAAAGAAAAGGAGCAGGTCTTCCCTGGAGGCACAGTCTTCCCTGAGTGCAGCACTGCGAAGCTGTCCACAGCTGTCCGCAGCCTCTGCAGTGCAGGGTCCATGCCCCGCCGGCAAGGGAGAGAAACACATGGCACCGCAGACGTCTCCATTCTTGCTCGCTGCTACCCTCCGCAATGTTTTCAGTCCGTCTGTCTGTTCTGCTCCCGGCTCTGTCTGGTGAATCCTCTCACCCTCCTGCATCTCTGGCCTGTACCCCAGTTCTTGTATGCATAAATAAATAAATCTTCTAATAAAAAGAAAAGGAGCAGGAGGTAACACAATGAATAACTGAATACAGTGATAAATAAAGAGATCCTCTTTCTCCCTAATTAGAAAATTCCCTAAAAGAACTTTGGTCAAGCTGAACATATTAACTTTATTAGGTCCACACATACATTAAAGTGCATATGGTAATAACATGTTAATTTTAAAATATTACTCTTAATTTTCACATTTTATGTATTTTTACATTTTAGAAAAGAAATTTTTTCAGGGCCTCCCTGGTGGCGCAGCGGGTTGAGCGCAGCGCTGTGAAGCTGTCCACAGCCTCTGCAGCGTGGGTTTGATTCCTGGTGGGCCAGGGAGATTCCCACATGGCAGCGGCAGACTTCTCCTGCTGCGCCTGCTGCTTCCCTCAGCAGTGCTTTCGGTTTGTCTGCCTGTTCTGCTCCCCGCTCTGTCTCTGGTGAATCCTCTCACCCTCCTGAGCCTCTGACCTGTACCCTGGTTCTTGTACAAATAAATCAATCTTTTTTTTTTAAAAAAAGAAACTTTATTCAAACTCCTGGCTTGCATCTTAAAACAGAATTTTCTGTTTCAGGAGTTTGACTACTTTAAACACCTCATGTAAATGCAATCATGAAATGTCTTTTTTGTGACTGGTATATTTCACATAGCATAATATCTTCAAGGTTCATCTTGGTTGTAGTATATGACAACACTGCCTTCCTAAAATTTTAGTTTTTGAAGATCAGCTAAACAAGGAAGAACTATTTTGATGCAACAATGAGTGAAAGAGCTAAACTATTTTGGTTGTATGTGAATGACAGATATATGAGGTATCATGCCCCTATTTTTTCTTTTCCAATTTTTTCTAAACAGTATGTATTTCTTTTAATAATGAACCCTTTGAAATAACATGGAAAATGGTTGTGATATAATTAGGTGAAAAAAGCAAGGTTCAGAATTGTACACAATGAAGTGTGATATAAGATCACAGTCATGAAAAACACACACAGGAAAATAATATGGAAGGAAGTATACTAAAATAGTAACAATGATTATATTATGGTGATGGATTATTGAAAGGATTTTTTCTATTTGAAATTTTTCTGTTATATAAACATTATAATTAAAAAATTGAAATACAAACCTGAATCATCTGTTGCCATGGTTGTGTTCTATATAAATTTAAGAAGTATATTTATAAATATTAAATATTTAAGAGAGGAAAAACCACATTTGCAGATTTCCCTGGATCCTGTTTACCTGCTATTAAACACTGCTTTAGCAACATTTGCTGCTTTTGTCCAATTATAAATAAGGAATACTCCCAGTGTATTCTTAGTATAATACATTCCCCTCAATTCCCCCTCCCTAAATTTGCCTATTTCCATATAGAAGTAATGGATGGTAGCCATTACTAGAAAATCTCCAAAGCACCTCCAGGTCTCCAATTTTTTAAACTCATGATCTAAGGTAAACACAAATTAGAGCAGATATATATTTCAGTCTTCCATCTTCCTCAATGCAGGATATGCAGGAAAATAACAGACAAAACTATTTCATGTCACCAGCTACTCCAGATTATTAATTCGCCCAACCCTATCTCTGTCTCTGAAAGCTGGGTATAATTAGATGATGTGACATCTCAAGGATTATCTGGAACCAGAATGATGTTGTTAAGCTTCAAGTGGATGGAAATATCCGCTGAACATGGATTTGGATTATGTAGATCTTGTTCTACTAAACTATCATTTCTGAAGTTTGAAAAAAAAAAATCTGAGGCTATGTAACCAATTAAAAATCTTGTGGAAATGTGGTCTTTTTTTACTTTTGGGGCGTGTGGTAAGTCTGGTATGGTATGATATTTTCTACCCAACATGGAAAGTGTAGGAAATGACTCAGTAGAATCACTATATTGTTTTATCACTATATAGTTTGGCATCATAAAGACTTCTCTCCACTATTAATTTAATATTAACTATTGACTGCGGCAAAACAAAACACTATTGAAATTTCATTGATGAATGAATTTTTTCACTTAGCTAAATAAATAGTACTAAATAGAATCATAAGTATTTAAATGCACATGTATTTAATTTTTGATGTTCACAATTGTTCAAATGTTCAAAACTATCTTAAGTCAAATTAGGATGAGGCTTTTTTCCCTCCAACTTTCATGTACTTTTCTATCCCTGGTACCTGGCATATAGCAAATGTGTACTCATTACTTGTTGAATGAATAATTATCAGCTCACAACAGCTTTAATTATTTTCACTTAACACAAAGTTGGAATTCTTGAAAACATGAAATAGATCTATTATAAAATTCTTCATTCAAGTAACTCTGTATTGATTTACAAGCCTGAATGTCCACATTTGCTATTAAGTAGTAGAGGCATATGAGAAAATATAATAAACTTACTTGCAATCAGAATATTGCTCAGGCTTACAGGAAAGAGTACAGCAGGTTCAAGAACAGTATATGCCAGGTTTTGTTCTAGCAACAAGGAGGCAATAACATAAAAAAAGGATAAACAGGGCCTCCCCAGTGGCGCAGTGGTTGAGCACTGGGTTGCGAAGCTGCACGCAACCTCTGCAGCGCCGGTTCGATCCCTGGCTGCTCCCCGGCCACCGGAGGAGGAGGGTCCTGCATGGCGCGCAGACCTTTCCTGCCGCCCGCTGCTCCCCTCAGCAGTGTACTTCGGTCCTTCTGCCTGCTCTGCTCCCCGCTCTGGCTCTGGTGAATTCCCTCACCCTCCAGCGCTTCTGACTGTGCCCAGTGCTTGTATAAATAAATAAATAAATAAATAAATCTTTTTAAAAAAAAAAAAAAGGATAAACATTCTGCCTTCAAGGAGTTTGTATACCAGAGGTGAAAAATAGACACATAAATAGTTAAGGGGGATAATTTCAGATTGTGCTGAATACTACTGAAATAACACAAAGGGGTGGATTGTCAAATGAGACTGAGATCAGAGATCTCAGCCAGAAACAAATTTTCAAGTGTGCAGATTCACAAGGACAGGTGAAAAATGGGCAAGGCAGGGTACCAGCATTATATCTAAGATCCTTTTCTTGCCATACTAGGACTCACTCTGGCACAGATTTAACATTAAATGTCTCTATGTACTATGGATACTTAGAAGAAGTGCATACCAAGTATCTGTAAAAGCAAGAACAGGACTTTGACTATAGTATGATCGACACAGTCTAAAAATAGCAAGGAAACCAGTATGCAAGCAAGGACAATGGTAGGAAATGACAGAGCTGAATACCTAAGAGCTTGTAAGCAAAAG